TTCGATATCTAGCATGATCCTCGATAGTCTCATGGACGCTCTCTTAAATAGTGCAGAATTATATTAATTATTTCAAATAAATTAACCTTCATTTATCTGATTCTTTTTCTTTTTAGCAGTCCAAATTCGAAACAATACTTTAATTAGTAGAACTATCATTTTAAAACGTCCGCGAATTGTCACACTTTAGTATTCGCTCTGATATAAAAATAAATATCTATGTTTTTCTACCCTTATATATTAGTATATTATGATTAACAGAAGTTACATATTGATACGATAATTTGAGTTATGTTTTCAAATGTTCTCTTAATTTTACTTTGTGGTTTTTCATAATATTTAAGTATTCATTAGATTTAGAATATAGACTCGCTGGAATATTTTGGCTACAAAAAGATTTTGAAATAAGTTCATGAATGAAGATATCTGTGAATATCAACAACAATAGATAATCTAAAAGACAATTTATAATCATATTATATATATACTACGTTACGTGAATGTAGATAGGTGAGGATGTGAGTATTCAGTTGTTTTCGTATCTACACCCATACCCTCAAAATTTGTTGATATTTAGAAGTTTTCCTTATTAATTAAAATGTTTTTCTGAATTTGAAAAATATTTTATTCATTTTGGTTTTTTAATTTAAAATTTTTTCATATTTTTGGATTCGATGATTTCCTTGATCAACAACATAAAGATTTGCTTCATTATCAAATGATAAACCTGCAGGACCATTCAATTGATCTGATTGATTTCCATTACCATTTCCACCAACAACAATTTCACCTTCGTCATTCCCTTTACACCAACGCATTACTCGATGATTACCCTGATCTGCCACATAGATTTGACCCAAATGATCAACAATCACTCCTCGAGGATGAGACAATTGTTTGAGACTATTTCCATAATCATTTCCACCAGCAACAATAATTCCTTCTTTCGCATCTTTTTCCCATTTCATTACTCGATGATTCTCACGATCTGATATATAAAGAGAATAATCTTTATCAATAAAGATAAAAGAAGGTCCATTTAGTTGATTAAGATGATCTCCTTTCCCATTTCCACCTGCAACTAATTCACCAACTACATCTCCTTGTTTCCATCGTCTTACTTCATGATTCTCAAAATCAGAAACATAAATAAATCCATTTTGATCGATTGTTATACCAAAACAATCGATATTTGAAACAAGAATTTGTTGATCTGTTTGATTTTGATCAAAATATCGAATTACTCGTTTGTTTCCCTTATCAGAAATAATAAAAGAATTATTTTCACTATTAAAAATTATATCTCTTGGATAATTCAATGGATTATTTTGATTTCCACCTGCAATGATTTGACCAGTATTTGAATTCAATTTCCATTTAACAATACGATGATTCTCATAATCAGCAACATAAATTGATTTATCATTATCAATAAAGATCTCTTGAGGCCAATAGAGTTGATTTAATTTATCGCCTTGTCCATTTCCTCCAGCAACAGCAATTCCAAATTGTTGAAATTGATTCTCTTTTGTTTGAATTTCTTCTAAAAGCAAACATTTTCTTTTTATTCAAATACTTTTCATTATTTGTAAATGAACAAAATTAATTTCAAATCTTCCTAGTAGAGTTAGTTGTATGATCAATAATTCTATAAATTCTCAGAAATTTTAGAAGCGTTGAGAATATGGGTGAGGGTAGATATTTCATCTTTTAAGTCACACTTATAATTTATGAAAAAGTTCTATCTCAATTCGAGAAACGATAAAACTATTATTATTGCTATTTAATGAGACATACGTTGTTTTATTAGAGGTTGAACTTGAGTTAGCATTTTATACAATGGTGTTATTGGATTCCATGGTATAGCTGGTATGCTAATTGGGAAATAATTTTTATATGATGTTGTTATTGAATTCTTTAAAATAGTTGCTGTGCTAGTTGTAGGATGATTTGATTGATAAGAATCTTAAAGAAAAGAAAGTACAATGATTTTATTCGAGAATAATAAAGCAAAGTTTAAATTTGTTCAATAATGAAACAAACTGAGAGAATTCGTTCATAGTTTATCTTTTGAATATAAATCCTAAAGTTTCTTCTATAGAATACTTATTTCGTTTTCAAAAAATATTTCGAGGGTGTGAGTATTATATCCATCACACACCCACGCTTGTCATTCCAATTAAAATACCTTTATCTATATATAAAATAATAAAGCGATATTCTGACGTTTGACACTGTCTACTACACAGATTAACTTTTTTCATAATTAATAATTTTGAAGAGTTGCTTTCATATTGGAATAGTTTGACAGTTCTCAGTATATCCTCAAAATACAGGTTCAATCATGTAAATAAGAGTGTTCATTTGAAACTTTTCTCTCTAAATCTCGTTGATATAATTAATTTGTAATACGAAAAACTACTTCGCTTAACCTTCGTTTTTTCTTTTCTCGATATGAAATAATTGAATAAACATACCGAATGATGAAATAACTGAAATTCTCTTGATAAATTCTTGTGAATCTTCTTTGATTGAAGTATTTGATGATTGAAGAAATTCTTCTGTAATTTGTGTTAATTTTAATTGAGAATTATTTAAATCAATTTCATTACATTCATCTTCTTCGCCGATTTCTTTTAGTTTCTCAGATAATTTAATGAACTTTTTTTCCACATCATCGATTAACGTTTGTGTCAATTTTATTAAAGTTTTCCGACATTCTTCTGCTGTTTGTTGAATTTGATGAACTGAATTTGTTTCCCATTGATTAATTTGTTCAATTAAAGAAGAATTGTGTGAATTTTGTTTTTGTTGAATAATTGTTTGTTGAAGTTGACCATGACCATTAATAATTTCATCTAACTGTTTGTCAACAACTTGTCGATGTTCTGTTAAATGAGGAAAACAGAACTCATTTGAACATCCTTTACAATTGTATGTATTTTTTTCTGTGTTACACACAAAACATTGTATTTTATTATTTGCAGTTGCCATTCGTTGAAGAATTTGAAAAAGAAATGAATGTTTGCTATCATTTTGTCTGTGTATTTATTTATATAAAACAAAATGAGTCAAGGTAGATAAATATTAGTAGGTAGTAAAAGAACGAAGAAAATCTTTTTTCAATAGATAAGAGATCTTCGTCATGAAAATAATTTTAATATTCATTGACATCCAATGAAAACTAAATCTCTTTAGAGAAGATGAATTTTATTGATCTTTCGTCTTTTATATGAGTTGAGATATAAATAATATTGTAGTTTTTTCATTGAAGACATTAAACTATTTTTCTAAGTCTGATCTTTCAGTAGAACACCTAATCCAGAAAAGTCAAATTGAAAATTTGGTTAGACTAAATACATGTTCTATTGATGTCATCTTCTTGTCGTTCAATAATTATATTATGAATGTAAATAATCATAAAATTGAAGTAAATGTGAAATCAGTGTCAAACACATTCTTTGTATCATCCAGAAGACATATCATACTATGAAAAACTAATAATAAATATATTTAATTTCGTTATGTCACAGAATGTGTTGTTTACGAAAACAAATGATCACATTGGACTCGACTAGTTTTATTTCTGTTCCTATTTGTCGGCCCCATCTATTTCTTTGAAATATTAAAAGTATTGATTTATTTGAAATAAATATTGTAATTCTCTGAAGTGATAGTAATCTAAAATTTTCTCTCGAATTCATTCATATGAATATAAGACGTAACATTGAAGTTCATCAGTGATAATTACTTAGAGATTTTTGATAATTGATATGAAACATCGATTCAATTATTAGTGATAGAATGTCATGTATTGTAAGTCTATCAATGGCCTTTATCGATCTTTTATAGAAGAATTGATTTTTAAATCGATAAACTTTTTTTATGGACTAATGATTGAATCAGTTAAAATACATATTCATGTTTAGTTTAATATTTATATCTTTGACTGCTGTAAGAACAATAAGAATGCAATAAAACATCGACTAAAGTTTCAGATTTTTGTTCATTTATGTCACAGTCGGTACTACCATAGTCCGTCGCTTACGTACTATTTGGAGTACAGCTATTCTAAGTGATTCATTGAATTGAAATAAAATGATCATTACAAAGAAAATTGCTAGAAGAGTGAACATAGTACTGATTGGAAAATAATGTTTTGGTGCACTATTCAAAATGACATAATCATGAATAGTGTAGCTGGAAAATAAACTATGACTAAATTTGTTACCAATATAATTATGCGTCCAACCATAATTTGAAATAAATAAGCATAATCAATAAGAAACGAATTAAATTAATACAAACTCCTGCATGAAGGGTGTGGATGTGAGAGACAATTTTAATATCTACAACGATACCCACCGACACCCACCCTCAATATCCAACTTTGTTTCTCTTCATAATTCATTTATTTACACCCCCCCCCCTCAAGTCAACTAATACAGTAAGGAAACGACCGGTTTCAAGTCTTTTCGGAGATTTCATGGAGGCAGCAATGCGAGCCGGAATTCCTAGGATGTGGATGAATGTTCATCGCTTCGTCTCCTCATACTCACGCTGTCAAGATGCTTTTGATTAGAAACGTTTTATTGCATAAAGATTTAAAATCTGTTTACCAGAGCTACTAAGTTCAATGAAACGATCATCGTTATTGATTACAGATATCTGCAATAAATCTTTTTACATTACTTGTTTTGTTGTTTGACTAAAAGTAACGAGAAAAATGCCACCATATCTATGCTTAGCATAATAGGGTTTTATCTCATGAAATCGATAAGAAATACATCACTTTTTTTCACACAGCTTAGTCATATTTAGTCATCACTTCCAACTTCGAAAATAGTAATAAAGATATGGATATTCAATCATTGCTTGTGTGAAAATAACAGGTGTTTTTGTTAGAAGGGGAATGACGATATTGATGTTACAGTTTTGTGATATCGCTGCATGTCTAGGATATATTGCATGTCGTCTGCTAGCGGTAGCAAATGTTGAATACGATATACTTCTTATACATTTTAAATGGAGAGTTTATTAATGATGATGATCGATGATTGATTGCCAATATTTTATTTTATAAAAAGACGTTATAGTTGTACATAATTACTCAAGAACTCGAATAACTCGTTTTTAAACATTCTTAATTTTCTTGAAACACGATATTTACTATCATGATTGTGTTTACAAAGTCTTATTAATTGCTATTCATATTCTACTACTGAATATAGCTAAAATTCTTTTTTCATTAGCGGAAAGAATGGTTCTGTAGAATCACATTATTGCATACATAATAATCACCTCAGTTTTGACTGTACATAAAAACAAAGCTTTAGTATTCACTCTCGTTTAACAAAAAAAACTTTTAATAATATCAAGAAATATAACTTTAGAGATATTTTGCTGTATGAAATCACTTATCAAGACATCATGTGATTTAGAGTATTTCACTTAATAATTTACCAGTTTTTTAATAGAATTAAGCTCGATGATTGAATGAATAGAAATCAAGACACCGTAATTCGTTTTTGATTGTCTTTTGGCTAGTGATGTTGACAAAAATTAACCATGTCTTAGTGATATAACAACATTCAATGGTCTTTTTATTTGCTCTTTGTTATTTAACTCTAGTAATTCATCTTTTGAGAGAGAATATAAAGTATTCTCAACGAACTTCAAGCTGAAAATTGATGATTCTGAAGATATTATTTGCCCAAGAAAAGAACGATTTATTTCTTCTTCCGCAACAGAATGCATGAATCACTATGATGACAATTGGTAGCTTTCCCGTTTTCTTATCAGTCCTTTTTTCCACATTGTATAGGTTTTTTTCCCTATTCCCTTTTTGATGGGGAAAAGTGTGTGCACACTAATAGACATACATGAAATATCGCATGATTATGTTGAATAGATAATATGCAGCTTCGTTGTGAATCCGTAGGCCGTCGCAAGGAAAAAGCCATAATCCCCGCTCTTTCCAATTATCTAGTGGCCAATTTCCCATTCGTGTGATAAGACAACGATGTCTCCCCTTCTATATATATGTCTTATTTTATCATCAGAATTATAAATCATCTCTGGGCTTTATTGAAATCAATCAATCTCATATATATTCAGGTGAGTATTTAACTGAAGCGATTTTAGATAAATATAGTCATATCATTTATTTAGACACTATGGCTTCCATAAAAGTGACATCCATTTTATTCTTCTTTGTTTTGTTGCTGACAGTTGGAGCCATGAATGAGCTCCGTGAGAACTCAAGTAATTATGATTAGAGAGAGTTATTAATCGCTAAACGATTGTCTATTTTTCAGTGATGCTTGTAAATGAAACTGTATTGAATGATGACGTTCGCTATTTCTTTTGCGACGGCTCAACTTTTGACCAAAATCTATGTATGAAGTACTGTAGAGATCGCGGTTACAGAGCAGGCTTTTGTCTACCATATGATGGTCGTCTACAATGTCATTGTCGCAATTGATCAATATACGCTATACAACTGCATGAATGATATTTATTCAAGAATTTTTAAGATATCTTTGAGTGAATTTTCTTTTGTGAATTAATAAAACTAAACATCTTACTGAAATAAACATCTATAGATACATTGAAAGATGAATCAATCCATCTGCTATATATACAGGCAATGACAATATTGAAGTTTATGAACCTTATCTGAAGTTAGAATCATCTGGATCGCTTTCAACAGAACTGAACTTCTCAGTTGTATTTTGATAGCATAGTCAGCCAGAAAACGAACAGATTGATGAGTTATCGTGCTCTATATTTGATGAAAAAACAAGTGAATATCATTTTACAATAAAGTTAAATATAAAACTCATGAAAATATTATATTTTCGATTTATCTGGTTCGGTGAACCTCGATATTAAAATTATCTACCTTACCGACATAGAACCGATAAAGTAGTGAAGTTTGCTGTTGAAACCACATTTTATATCTACTCTAGATGTTTGGCATTGTGCATGAGTTATCTGTTCGTTAGTGTAAGCAATATGTAAAATGAAATGCATGACCCATTGAAAGTTTCTTTAATAGATTTGAATGTATAAAATTGAGAAAAATGACAAATATGGGCTTAGTAAAGAGTATAATAAGTAACAAAACAATATTGCCGATAGACATTAATATCGAACTAGTTTTACACAATAACTACTCAAGTTAACCCTTTCGCGACGATTCTTTTTCCATAGAAAGTAACGGGTAAGTCAGAGTAAATCACCGCACTTCGTATCTCATATTCCAATCTCTGGAAACATTTTATTAGAAAACAGATTCTATCACAACTTACCTCCACAATTGATCGCACGCATTTTTGATTTTTTTGAAAAACAAAGGTACACAACTAAAATAAGCTTTACGACGAGGTTAGTAGAGCTTTTCACTTTGACTCTTGTGGTTTATTTTGTTTTCTAATAAAACATTTTCAGAGATTAAAATGTAAAATGCAGAGCACAGTCGTTTACTCTCGGCCATCTGCTTGACGGTGAGGGTACGGATATGACTGTGGATAAAAGACGAGTAAAACACCCACACCCACCCAATACCCGCTCAAATCCTCACCCACATCCACATTCAAACTCACACCCACACCCACACCCACACCCAAAACTCACTCTGAGATTCTCAGTGGTTTATTGTAGGAACGACAGTAACATAACAGATCAGATTACATTTTATGTTGATATATCGTCTGGTATCAAGAAAGAGTATAGTTTTCCTTGTTTGACAGACTCTATATTATGGTTATATGATCATTATTCCACAAATTAGAAATAAAGCATGAATTGTCAATACAGAGAGTATTACTAAATTGATGATGATTTTTTTCTACAGGATGTATAACCATATACTATCATGAAACTAACTTATCATTGTAACACGTTTATTAGTTGTTTGAACATGGTTTTATTCTCTTTTTAACATTTTTTATTACTACTAGACAAGTTTATCGATGATAGTAATTCTTCAC